CCCTTACAAACTTTCCTGCCTGTAAAGGCTTGCTTAAACCTGCTAGATCTTGAACTGTGACCAATTCTGAAGAAAGATTATTGAGCAGAATTAAGGTCAGAGGTCGGAGGTGTCACAGGGCCAAAATCCTGGAATTCCCTCCATAGGGGCATGTGGGTCTACCTTTAGCACATAGACTGCAACAGTTCAAGAAGGCACATCACCACCACCTTTTCATGGGCAACCAGGGACAAGCAATAAATGCTGGCCAGCCAGCCAGCAACGCCTACGTCTCATGAGTGAATTTAAAAAATATAGAATGGAAAATGAGATGGCCAATCAGGAAACAACCACCACAGAATATTGTGTCATTGTTTTTAGGACCCACCTCATGTGAAAACCCAGTCTTTTTTTAAAATCACCATGATGCTTCCAGACTTGTTGAGTTTTCTATCATTTTCTGCTTTTATTGTATGTTATACAGAATTTGTTTTCTGTTTTAAAATGAGTAGTCTTGGAGGACAAGGCATTACCAAGAACTCTGCAGCTCCCTTTTGTTTAAGGATTACCTTTCACTGACCAAAGCTAAGAAGTGAAAACCAAAGTTTATTTTGCCCAGTTGTATAGCACAACCGTGGCTTGAGACAGTAGACTGAAATCAATTGTCAGGTATTCCAGAAGGCTTAAAACTGGCTGACACAGCCTGCTGGCTGCTATATACCAAATATGCAGCAAAGGAAATACACTGGGACTGTGATTCTGCGGAAAAAGATAATACCTCAGTGACAAAAATAAGAATAGTCTGCTTTCTCAGCCTGTTTATTTTTTAAAGTCAAGTTTTCAACGTTAATTATAATGTGAGATTCAGTCTTGCATTTATGACATTCAGTGTTTGCATTCTTGCAAGTGCATACAATTATTGTCACATTTAGTATTTTTTTAACAAGGATCAACCTTGGAAACATTCACACCAATGCCAATTAAGCAAGTCTGTACAATTATTTTAAAATGCAATCCAAGTAGTATTGTAACAGCTGATACATTAAAAATAGCTTGTTATTGCACATTATTTAAAAAATCATATAAACATCTTACTCTCACACAGTGTTTGACCTTTACATTTTCAATAATGATCATACCTTAAACATTTCGCCTCTAACAAAACATCACAAAGGGGGAAAAGTGAGATCAAATATTTTTTAATTATTGCTATTTGGTGAACTAGCAGTAAAGACACCAAAATACCATGTACAGGTATCCAGTGTGCTATTGCTGGTGTAGATTGCCTCATCCCTGAGTTCCTTGCCTTTTATTGTTCAATATATTCCACCCTCGGGCTTAAAACATGCTACATCATTGATTGGAAATAGTGCTTGGTTTTCCGTGGGTCAGTTAGAGTTAGCTGCTGGCAATAAACAGAGAACACATTCCAAGTTCTTCTTCCTGGGACACTACTTGAGAATCATTTGCCTTGGAAAAGTAATAAAGCTTTTGTGGAGTGAATGTTGCAACCAATGTCACTTGTTTAGATAAGGATTTTTGGCTATTTCTGGAGGGAGGAGAGTCAACAAGGATTACAAAGGACACCTGATGTAGGAGATATAGTATAAAAACTATGATCTACAAGGTGCAGATGGACACTCTGCTATGACTATTAGTACATCTAAAATTGTAGTCCAGGGCTATAATAAATACTGTAACCTACACTAAAGATGTAAAGTGCTTTAAATACTCACCCTTGAACACTTAAAATAGTGGTCCTGAAATTCTGATGGCCAAAGAATCATTTCTGCACCACTGATGGAGTTGCATAGCAAGACCCTGAGGAATTACAAACATAGCAGACTCCTTGGCAATTGCCCATGAAATTGAAGGTTAAAATGGACAATCCTTCTGCATCTGGACTCCTCCAAAAAACTCTTTAATGCAGTGACTTCAGAGGGCTCTGCTTCCAGTAACTTAATAGTTAACCAGGAAGCCAGACATTTGATTGTCTGAATCCCAGGTAACTGTTAAGCTGACCACACATGAACTCCACACCTGCCCACCCAACAACCACTTCCTCGACCCCTTGTACTCCCGGGGCCTTGAACAACCACCTCCCTCAACTCAACATGATTTTCGCCTGACCCCGAGATCTTTTATATCCACCTAGGCAGGCAAACGCATCTCATCTGAAAGGCAATACCTCTACCATTGTAGTGCTTCCTTGGTACTGCACTGGAGTGTCAACCTTAATTTTAGTGCTGGTTTTCTACCCAGAACCTTACCTTTCACAGGCAAATGTTCAACCAGCTGACCCACAGCTGAGACCATAGCAATAGTAGCTTGGGATGGTCAATATTTATAATATTTCAATTTTACAATGCAGTCAGTTCATGGACATGCAGATCTGCAACTGGTTGCTTTTTGCTAAAGCCCTTCTAAATTACTTGGAAGCACATCATCAGCACCAAGTGATTTCCTCCCTAGAATATGATGAGTGCATTCCTACTAATAATGCTACCTGTAGAATGATATTGATAATAAAGTGACTCTTTACAGTGTAGGTTGCAAAGCTGCCACCATCTAAGAGCATACCTCATGGATAGCCTGATCTAACGTTGTCATTGTACAACCTCCATGGTAATGGGAAGAGATTGACACTACAAACTGCCTGAGGTGTTTCCAAACTGAATCAGGTGTCTCCAATGTGCTGGAGACCAATAAGGAACCTTTTATAGACTTGAAAATAAAAGGAGCATTTTATTCAAGAAAATACTTCAATTAATCTAAATAATTCAAGTGTTAAATTACCCAGATTCTCAAAGGTGAGAAGATGGTTAGCAATGATTCAATACTTTACATCTTGCTGAGCAGCAAACTTATTAACTGCTGGACTGTGACCAGCCTGCTCCATAGGTCCATGCTCACTTTTCCAGTATGGGAAAGTGCAGATTGTTGATTGGAGCCTTGTAATTTCATCCCCAGCCAATTTGTTTCTTTTTGTGGGTTTCGGGGGGAATAAAAAGTGGAGCATTTGAAAAACAGGAAGTGTCACAGCCTGAGTCTTATTGTGTGTGTAAAGTTCAGGGCTTTGATTTACCTGAGTTTCTGTTGCTGATTATTTTGTATTGCGCGACGTTGCACATTTTATAATTCTACTTCTCATTGACAGAAACAAAAAGGGAATTAAGCAGCACACCCTGAACATTTGACAACATATCACAGCAGTGGAGTAGAATGGTGGTATTTATCATTTGGCCCCCACTTATGGCTAAGTTAAATCTGCTGGGAACTCTGGCTGGCTTACTTGCAAGGGCACCTCCTTGACCCGAATGGCCATAGGGGATAGAGGTAGGATTCAGTCCGGTCTCCCATTCTTCTCCCCTTCAAGAGGTAATTAGAGGTCCAAAATCACAAGCAGTGGACGACTGAATGAGGAAGTGCTATTCAGACTTGTAGCTCACTACCTCTTGTGGGACACTTAGTTGGACCATACAGCCTTGAGCATGACTCTGCTCAATTTGTAGCAATAAGAGAACATTTAAATTCATAAACAGATTTCTCATTCGACAGATCTATTATGTGACACCCATTTTCACTCTGTAATCCTTCAGTCTTTGAGTGTTTCCACGTAGGGAGGCCCATTCTCTTCAATTGACCATCTTGTCATTGGTATTTCTGCTCAGTTTTCAGAATAATTGCACACTTTTTTAAAAAAAATCTGAAAACAGTTGCTGGTATTTGCATCTCATACAGATCTTTTGAAACAAAGAAATGGACAACATTGCTCTGTCTAACAGGCAGATGAGATTGCACTGAGAATGATGTGTGTTAAACTCCCAATCCTTAGTGAACTCACTTCCATTACACAGACATAGTCTCTGCCCTGGAAGACCTAAGGATAGACATAGTGCAAGGACAGTACTCCAAATTTCCAACACTGCCCTTTTGTTGTGAGAACCGAGCACAATGACTACATTGAGCATTAGTGAATGAGGAATTCAGCACGCACAGCAACACAGGGGAGATAGGAGGAGGACAATTATAGCTCAAAGAGGTAGATTTTTCTCCAAAACGTGGGAAGGGGAGAGGATTTTAGGAAGTGTTTTCTCTAAAATATACGTGCCAGTAATGCAAATAATTTAACACCGATACTAGCAGCTGGCTTTCCTTTAGCCATCTAATTGCTTCACAACCCACTCCATCATCCTCTCCTTTAAATATGTTGTGGCCATCCATAGTCGTCCTGCCAGTACAGTCTCCATCAAAACAAACGTACTTCTCTGGAGGCAAATATTCATTTGTGGTTTGTGAACCAGTGGTATTCAATAACTGCGGTTTCTAGACAACAAGGTGCAGGGCTGGATGAACACAGCAGGCCAAGCAGCAGCATAGGTTTCTACTCTATTTTGGAATATCAATTGATCGTACAGTAATGGGGCATCCAATTTAATTGCAGCACTGCACTGTACAGTTTACTCAGCGGACAGAACTCCTGCTGACATGCCCAGTTCTATCAACCAATTGAAGTGGTGTAGTGTGCGATGGCTATGCTGACCAGTATGTTCAATGCTTGAGAAAAATGAGGAGGGTGCGCCATCTGCGCAAGGAAGTCTGTAGAAAGCAGTCTCTTATGTGATCATACCCAGTGTATTAACCAGAAGGCTAAACTGTCCGCAAAAGATGTATTAAAGGTTTTTGACAATCGCAGACTTAAGCAGTTTTAAACTTGACATAATTCTCCTGGTGCTATTTAACAGGGGCTGATTCAGTGAGCTGAAGATCTCCGAGAATGTCATGTTATGTAAATGAACAGGAAACAGCTGACTGTATTCTGTTGCTAACATCATACTCTCCACGGTATTTCACACTTACCCATTACATTTTCACTGCTCAACACGACTCATTCTGAAACTTTCCCCAGTTCATAGCCCTCTCCTCGTGGTTAAGAATTCTTGCTACTGATCAGAGGAAGCGATCAGATCACAATTCCTTTGTTCTAGACCTACGTTCCTTTTTAAGAGGTCCAGTTGACTTTAGGACTTTCTTTTTGCTGCCAGCTTCGCCGCTCTCTCACGCTCCGCTTCTTCGGCTTTTCTCTTCTCCTCCTCCTCTGCCTTCTTTCTTTCCTCCTTCAACTCCTTGTACCTCCACTGGGGTAATTCCAGGAAGTTGCTGCTCCTCTTCGCACTGCTCTTTCTGCGTATTCTCTCAGGCTCATAGGTCGGCGTTGGTGCTTTAAATATACGCACCTTGGGTACCACTATCCCAGGCTGCACACTGCTCCACTTCATCATACTCAAGGGCATCAGGCTCCCCCTCCTGGAGGAAGCAGCTGTCCCATGCTTGGAGGGAGAGGTCATTGGAGGAAGGCTGGCTCTCCGTTCCTTCTTCTTCGGGACCATGACAAGATGAGAGTTCTGAAATAATTTCTGTTGTTTGGTGTACTCCTTGGCTGAAGCCTTCATGGTCGGAGATTTCTGCTTTCTCAGGATCTCTTGCACAGTGAACCTCCTCTTGCCCACACAAGGGGGGCTGCTCGGGCAGATTGTCCTACATCCGGTTGCAACAAAAGGGCTGGAGATGGCGGTGGTCATGCGGACCATGTGGTCAAGGGGCCCATCCTCTTCTGGATCGCGGGGAAAGTTGATGGTCAGGGTTGATCTAATTGTCTCACAGAGTTTTTCCAAGCAGTTCTTGGGCTCATTGGCTTTGGCTACGAGCTCTTTCAATTTTGGCCACTCGGGCTTGTACCTGTCACTGAATTGGACTGGACAAGGCCTGGCCAGGAGCTTACGCATGAGACAGAAGGTTTCAAAGCGTCCTGTAAACTGTGCCCACTGTTGTGGGGTAAAACCTCTTCCTGGATCTGTGGCATTCATATCTGCACCTAGAGAAGAAACATAGATAAATCAGAGAGAAAACATATATAAATATAATGTATTTCTCCTTTTGGAATTTAACATCATTGCCTAAACTCAATCTCAATGAAGTAATGTGGAATTGGTTGTTAGCTAGAATTAAGTGACAGGCTTGGCTAATTAAAATGCCAAGTTCCCTTACAATTGACTTAGATTCCATAACACTGCAGTGCAATGTACTCCAAACATATTGATTTCCCCAGATCACATTCAATGATCCTCATTCCATCAAAAGGCAAAAGAAGTTCCCGAAAAAAATCGATAGGATTCCTCTACACCAGGAATGCCTAAGAGGATAGAAACTGATTTCAGAATTCTGAACAAGATTAGAAGTGTAAACTAACCAAATTTGTTTGTTCTACAAGTCAGAGTTCCTAATCATGATGAGCAAATGGCCGTGCACAGAATCCTGTGGAATATCCCTCTTGTACTTTGAGAAAAGGTGATATCGCTGTTATTGATGAATGGAGTTAGATAAATAAAAATGCAGAGCAACAGTGTGAACTCAAATGTCAGTTCAGGTCATTGTCCAACCATCGTAAGGTTAAATTTCCATTCCTGGCAACACAACTGAGCTGCCCAAATTCACCTCACGTCCCTAGGCTTAGCAGTTGTTTTCTGTATATAAGACAATGAGGTTGTATGACAGTTCCTCGGCCAGTGAAGAGAGGACACATTGTAAAGGACATTGTCCAAAATGACTGAAGGCTCTGTAAGGACTCTGTCAGTCAATACCCCAAGGATGGATATACATTTGCATTGTACTGGCACCACCTCATGAACTTTTCCTTTCTTACCATGTCTGACTGTTCCCACCACAGCCAGGATGACGTGTCCTTCCTACTGTTGGACTATGACCTGGTGTTGTGTGATTTCTGACCTTCCTACTTGATGCCTCCATTTCTCCAATCCTATTTTGTCATATCCTGAATCCCTCCTCCATGTCACTGACACAACTACAACTCCCCCACGCCCCCACCTCCCCCATCCATGGCCACCTTCTCTTTCTCACTTCTGTTGGTGATGAGTCTCCACATAAGCGTCCACTCTCCTGCTCCCCTCTCCTGTGCCATGGAGCCAAACAAGGAATCTCGCAAAGCACAGCAAACATGCTACCGATGTTATCTCAGTGCCTCAACCAGCTGCTGAGATACTGAAACTTCATAACCTGCCTTATTAACTCAACCCGCACACCAGATTTCCTACTCCTGTGGGCTCCATAAAACTCCCCCCGCTAACAGGTGCCTCTATGAGATAGCGCAAATTGTTGAACATCAATTTCTAGCTCAACTTCAGTGGCAGGGTGTGAGCCCAAAAAACAGCCTCCATGGCTGGTAGTTATTGAGGTGAGTGGAGGAGAGGTTAAGGATCTCTCAAGTGCTGAAGGATGGAAGTGAAAAATAACAGACACCGTTCTGGCATAGCACCAAGTCAGAAGTGTCGGTTCCAAGTGAAATTACTGTGTCTTGCCAGATATTAGAATTTCGAAGCTGCTTTGCCTTGATGGCATATCAATCTACACTGTTATGATTGTCACTGATGCCAAAAAACCTCCCTTTCTCTTCTCCAAAAAAGTTGAACTGAGTTGAAGAATCGAGAAACACACCAGAAAGAGATGTTCTGCTTGGGATCTCTTTTTTTTCATATGTACTCACTGGATGTGGGTGTTGCTGGCTAGGCCAGCATTTATTGCCCATCCCTAATTACCCAGAGGGCAGTTCAGAGTCAAATACATTGCTATAGGTCTGGAGTCACATGTAGGCCAGACCAGATTAGAATGATTGATTTCCTTCCCTAACTGAGTTGAGTAAACCAGATAGGCATTCCCCCCCATCTCAACAATTTCAAGATCATCATAAAACACAATTCCAGGCTTCTAATTCCATCTGCCATGTTGGGATTTGAACCCAGGTCAACAGGATATTACCTGAGTCTCTAGATTAATAGTCTAGCAATAATACCACCAGGCCATCACCTTGCTGTAACAATCCTGCATGTCATTCAATCCCACCAACAGCTATGCTACAATCCTGCACAGAATTTTTGATACATGGGTCTGGAAGTGTGGAATAGAGAAGAAAGCAATTTAAGTCACTATAACTCTGCCTGCTTTTTGAAATGGTGGCTGTGCCTTTCTCTTTGGCCATAGTCCTGCAAATTCTTCCTTTACAAGTAAAAATCCAACTGTTCTTTAAAAGACACTGCTGAACATATTTCCATTGCAGTTTCAGGCATTGTGTTCTAGATCATTGATGACTGTGTAAAATAATTTGTCTTCACTTTCCCACCATAAGTAATAAGAACAGGAGTAGGCTGTTCGGCCCATCAAGCTTGCTCCACCATTCAATAGGATCATGGCTCATTCGACATTCCTCACATCCACTTTCATGCCCTTTCCCCATGCTAACTCAAGGACTCCATGACTGTGCCCACAGTTCTCTATGGCATGGAGTTCCAAAGACACGACCATTCCAGAGAAGCAATTCCTCCTCATCTCAGTCCTAAATTAGCATCCCTTTATTCTGAAAGTATGTCCTCTAGTCATAGACTCTTCCATGAGGGAAACATCCTGTCAGCATTTACCCTGTCAAATCCCTTAAGAATCCTGAACAAAAACAGAAGTTGCTGGAAAAGCTCAGCAGGTCTGGCAGCATGATGAGATCACCTGGCAGAATGAGATCACCTCTCATTCTTCTAAATGCCAGTGGGTAGAGCCCCAACCTATTTAGTTTTTGCTCACAAGATAATCCCTCCATACCAGGGATCATCCTCTCAACTGCCTCTAATAAAATTATATCTTGCCTTAACAAGCCTGCTCACGATACTCCAGATGTGGTCTCACCAGCACCTTGTATAGTTGCAGTAGGCATTCCCTACTCTTAGTACTTCAACTCCCATGAAATAAGGGCCAACATTACATTAGCCTTCCTGATTACCTGCTGCACTTGTGTGCCAGCTTTCTGTGTTTTGTGTCAAAGTACCCATCTTCTGCTCCATTCTGCTTTTACCTCCACCCAAATGGACTCTACATCATCCATTTCTGTTGAAGCTTTCTTTAGATTTCTCCACTTAAATAATATTCTGCTCTTTTGTTCTCCCTTCGAAAATGAACAACTTCACATTTGCCCGCGTTATGCTCCATTTGCCAACTTTTGCCCGCTTACTTAACTCACCAATATCTCTCTGTAAACTGATTGTATCCCTCTCACAACCTTCCTTTCCACCTATTCTTGTGTTGTCTGCAAATGTGGCTACAGTCCATTCACTTCCTTTCTCCACATCATATATATATATTGTAACAGTTGTGGTCCCAGCACTAATACCTGTGGAACCCCATTGGTCACAGGTTGCCATACTGAAAGAGAACCTTTTATCCCTTTTCACTGTTTCCTGCCTATGAGCCAATTTTCTAGCCATGCCAATATACTACCTCCAACACCGTGGGCTCTCACCTCATGACTTAACCTTTTCTGAGGTACCTTGTCAAATGTCTTCTGTAAGTCCAAATACACCACATCTTCTGGTTCCCCTCTATCCACTCTGATTTACACTGCCTCAAAAAGATTTTAATAAATTAATCAGACATAATTTCCCTATCATAAAGCCGTGCTGACTCTGCTTGATTAGATAATGATTTTCCAAATGTTCTGCTGTTACTTCCTTAATAATGGATTTGAATACTTTTCCAACAATAGAAGTTGGATAATAGATGGCTAATTGGCCTATAGTTATTTGCTTTTTGCCTCCCTCCTTTTTGAATAGGGGTGTCACATTAACAGTTTTCCAATCCTCTGGTACTTCTCTAGAATGCAACAATTTTTGGGAAATTATAACCAATACGATCACTGCAGTTACCTCTTTTAGGAACCTAGTGTGTAAGCAAGACAGCCAGGGGACCTATCTGTCTTTAGCCCCATTAGTTTATGTAATATTACTTCTTTAGTTGTGGTGATGATACTTAATTCCTCCCCTGCATTCTTTAGTATTAATTTGATGTTCAAAGTATCTTCCACTGTAAGGACTGATGCAAATATCTGTTTAACTCCTCTGCGATTTCCTTGTTCATGAAAACCACCTCCTCAGATTAATTGTCTGAGGAGCCTATGTTCACTTTGACCTCTCTCTTTTTTTATATATTTAAAGAAGCTCTTATTATGATTTTTATATTCCTCACTATCTTGTCCTTTTAGTTTAATTTCTCTGTCTTTATTATCTTCCTAGTCCTCCTTTGCTGGATTCTGAATTTATCCTAGCCTTCATGGCTATCACTGATTTTGGTCTCCTTATATGCTTTGTTTTCAACTTAATACTGTCCTTAAGTTGCTTGCTTAGCTATGGCTGGTTTATCCCTGTTTTAGAATCTTTCCTCCTTACCGGGGTGCATTTTTACTGACAGTCATGAAATATCTCCTTACATGCCCGCCACTGCTTACTGACTACCAGTCCTACTAATGTATCTGTCCAGTTTACTTTAGATAACTCTTACCTTATTTCATTGTAATTCCCTTTATTTAGGTTAAACATAGTTATTTCTGACCAAGTTTCTCACTCTTGAACTGAATATTAAATTATATCAGGTTATGATCACCATTTCCTCGGGGATCTTTTACTTGGAGGTCATTTATTAAACTTGCCTCATTACCCATTTCCAGATTCAATACAGTCTGCTCCATGGTAGGTTCCATGATGTATTGCATGGGAAACTATCCCTAATGCATGAATTTGTTGTCAAAGCTACCCTTCTTAATTTGATTAACTCAATCAACATGAAGATTAAAGTCACCCATAATTATTTGCTCTTTTATTTTTACATGCTCTAATTATTTTTTATTTCTAGCCTTGCTCGAGAAGTGGCTACTATTTGGGGGCCTGTACACTACACCTATCAATGTCTTCTGCTCCATTCTGCTTTTACCTCCACCCAAATGGACTCTACATCATCCCAGCCCACATCATCTCCCACAACAATGCTCATTTCGTTTCTTCGTAACAGTGCTACCCCACCACCTTTTGCATCACCCTGTCTCTTTGAAAGAACGAATGTCCCTGAACGTTAAGTTCCCAGTTTTGATTTCCTTGTAACCATGTTTCCATAATGGCTGTGAGATCAGATTCTTTTACCCTGATTTGCACCATTGGTTCATCTGCATTATTCTGAATGCTTCGCGGATTAAGGTACAAAGCCTTTAAGTTTGTTCTATTATTAAATTTCCCTACATTTTTATCTAAATTATTTCTCCCTGTTTGTCAAAACCTTTCTTAATTGCGAATGCATCCATTAAATTTCTATTTAACTTTCTTTGCTACAAGGATAACAATCTCAAGTATTCTGGCATCTCCATTACTAAAGATCCTCAACCCCAGTATCTGCTCTATTTTGTCTCCAATGCCTTGACATCCTTCCTAAAGTATGATGTCCAGAAACAGATTTAGAAAAACGCCATTTGGCCCCTTTAGCCTTTCCTGCCATTCAGCAAGATCATGGATGATCTTCCCCATGCCTCAACTCCAGTTTCATGCCAAATCCTTATAGTCTTCAAATTCCCAATACTTTAAAAACGTACCTACCTACGCCTTAAATACTCTCAACAATCTAGCCTCAATATACAACACGATGTAAAGTCAACCAATTTGTTGCAAGCTGTGTAAACAATGTAACTTAAAGTCTTAGCCCTCAAACACTTTCTGTGTTCTGTATGTTCTACCTACTTATCCAAATTAATGGTAACATGGCCCAAAAAGCACTTGTTGCCCATTCTCTTATTACTGCAACATGGAAAAGGGAAAATATTCTGGGCAAAAATATTGTGCTGTGGGCTGTTACTATGTTAGAGAAGTTCTCAATGGCTCACTAAGATCAATGGGCATTGATCCAATGTAATATAACCATAATAGAAAATAAAGATTTAGCATCTCTCTTACTTTTGTAACTTTATTCCCCTGTCTACGAAACCTAAGATTCCATATGTTTTGTGAGCTGTCTGATTGGCTTGTCCTTCCACCATTAATGGGGATAGTATTGGGAAGAGGGACACAACGACAAGAAGATTGTCAGTACTTACCCGCTAACATCAGGGCTCTGACACAATCTGTTTTTCCTTGCATTCCTGCTTTCATCAGTGCAGTGAACCCATGGACGTTCCTCCTCTCGATGTCAATTCCGGAAAAATAGTTCAGCAAGTAATTTGTAATTGTGATGTGTCCTGCAAAAAGTACGGTGCAATGCTGTTTAAAGACTGCAAATCATATAGAAACAACCACATGCAAGGGAGTGGGTCTCAGTCCACACCAACAAATATTTCAGCAAAAAGCAGTGTTTAAGGGGGTTACAAAAAAATCTTTATTCACTTCTAGAACTTGGCCTTGAATCCATTACTGAATGATGACCGACCTGACTATAAGCAAGAAAGAACACACATTATTGTTATGTTTCAAAAGCACAGAATGTCTTAGAAGTGTTTTATCAAATGCTTTTATCCCCTGTGGAGTTGAAGTGACTGTTGTACTGAAGGAAACACAGCAATTAAATTGTACAGCAAGATCTCATGAACAGGAATCTGATAATAGCCAGACCATTTGTTTTGATTGAGGAAAAATTATTATCCAGTACACCAGGGATAATTCTTTAGTCCTTCATCAAACTAGTATCATGAGATATTTTTACACCCACCTGAAACTATGACAGAAGGAGATGCACCTAATTGAATTTGAAAAAGCCCAACTTAGAGTATATTTTCCTCAATTTCCTACTGTGAGCAAATGAGGATCAACACAAATATAAATTGGGGGTGAAAGGGGGAAACAAATCTCCTTTACAGTCTTACCAGTTATATTTCCTAATGTTCAGTGATGTTGTTAATAAATTTGGCCCATTCTGAATGGACACAGGTCTGTAGAAGGCAGCTATTTGTCCCCTCCAACCTTTCCCACCATTCAGCATGGTCATGGATGATCTTCCCCATGCCTCAACTGCTCTTTCATGCCAGCTCCTGATAGCCCTCACAGATGTGACTACCAATAAGGTCGCTGCAGCCCCAGGCTGGTATGGTAGATACTTTTAATCAACCTGTTCAGATGTGTTAGGACACACTTCGCCAGGAGGTGGGATTTGAAGCTGAGCCTTCTGGGGCACTACCACAACAGCCCCAAAGACTGGCAATGGTAAGCTTTTGCCAATTTGGATGAGTTTATCATATTGAGCCCAGTTGGATTGGGTGTAGAGGTATAGAGATAGGGCTGGGCACGAGAATCCAGTGTTATTTACTGAATGTGCAGGGACCAATAGATCAATTGCAGACTGACGTAGGTATGATATATTTCCAGTGGCTGCTACTACAGTTTAACTTACTTATAGTTCAACTTTGATTAATTTAGACTATCTGCCTTTGGTAATCAAGGACCTGTGACCAACCCGCAATTAAAAGCTACAAGGGTGTGTCTTCTGTAGCAGGAATCGGTTAATTGAATACTGCTGTGATTAACAAACAATTGAAGCCAATTAAAAAGTATGCAAGATCATCAGCCAGCTAGGGGGTGGTAAAGTTCCTGGCACTTCAGCTGCTCTTTGTGATGCTGAAGGATATTGTGTTCCAGCCATAAATTGATTATGCTGTTCAAGTGTGCTGATTCATGGGAGATGGCCAATTCTAACCTATGCTAACAAGCAAGTGCAGAAATCTGGGTGTAATTTACCCTTGCAAACCAGGTACAATATCCAGCCCATTCTGCCGATGCATCCCCAGCAGAAACCTCAGCATTGTGAAACCTGTCTGTTCACAAGGGGCAGATTTCTTATGGCTTTAATAAACAAAGAACTGCAGAATCCGGAAATCTGAATTAAAAACAGAAATTGCTACAGCAGGTTGACTCTGCTTTCTCACCGCAGATGTTCCCAGACCTGCTGAGTTTCTCCAGCAGTTTTTGTTTTTGTTATTTGTTGTTTTGTCGGGTCAATTCATTTGGACCTCAGCTCACTGGATCATCATAATTTGTTTTCTTGTTTATATTATCTGTCTTGGTGAGCGAAGCAACCTTATTAAATTTTCTACCTGTAACCCCCTGATGACTGTGTAAGACTGTTCTTGGGAGCCCAGGTTTTCCTCTGTTCTAGTGAGGCAGGTATTAAACTGGATATTTCACCAGCATCTCATGGAAATAATGAATAAAAGCTTCAGACATGTGTTTAACAGTTAAGGTAGAAACATTTTTTTTTTCAATTTTTAGGATCAGCTCTATACTTTATCTTCTTGCATTTAGATCTATATAAATTCTTTCTAGATATGTGGATTTACATTCACAACAATAGATATACTTTAAATGAATTGGGCAAAAAAAACCCACAGAAGACAAGACCATTTTTTTCGTATGCAGCAGATTGTTATAGTGTCAGAATAGGTGGTGGAAGTAGCATTAGTAGTAACTTTCAAAAGGAAACTGGGAAAAAAAGTTGCTGGGCTATGGAAGATGATTGGGACTAATTGGATAAGCTCTTTTAAAGAGGCAACATAGCATGATGGGCTGATTGGCCTCTCACTGAGGGATTCCCTGATAACATTGGGTGGGTGGAAGGGTTATCATAGAAAGAAAGTTGAATCTCTGTCTTTCATCATAATGTATGAAACCATTTACGGTAGGATAGATATTGTAACGGTCCTGAATGATTGAATCATTGCCTCCATAGAAGTAACGTGCAAAAGGTCAATGAATGGTTATAGAGTCATACAGCACAGAAACAGACCCTTTGGTCCAACCAGTCCATGTTGACCATAATACCAAACATTATCCCACCCGGGTGCACTTGGCCCATATTGCTCCAAACGTTTCTTGTTCACGTACTTGTCTAAATGTCTTCTGAATGTTGTAACTAACCCCCACATCCACCACTTCCTCTGGAAGTCCATTCCACACATTCTGCGCTAAAAAAAGTTGCCCCTCATGTCTTTTTTAATTCTTTCTCCTCTCACTTTAAAAATCTGCCCCCTAGTCTTGAAACCCCCAACCCTAGGGAAAAGACACCTGCCATTCACTTTATCTATACCCCTCATGATTTTACAAACCTCTATATAACCTCAAACTCCTTTGCTCTAGTGAACAACATTCCAGCCTTTCCAGCCTCTGCCTAATCTGAAATGCTCCATTCCTGGCAACATCCTGGCAAAGCTCTTCTGAACCCTCTCCAGCTTAATAATATCGGCTGGTCAGTTGCTCCCTGTGACTGCCACCCAGATAATTTGAAGTAAATTTAATGGTGATTCTCAAAGGTCACAGAATCCAAGGCACAGAGTTTTACTGTCACCGTTAGACATCAACCAGGTATCATTTGAGTCCCCATTCTCAATCCTACAGAGGAAATCAGGAGCCAGAAACCATTGTGTGATCCCAGAGGTTCATGGTCATTTGTCCAGGAGAGACAGTGTCCAAACAGAACAGGAAGACTTTGCTCAGTTTGCTAATAACAGATCACACCACAGGTCTCATCAGCAATCCATCAGCTCCAGCGACAAACTATCAATCTCAGTCATGGTTCACCAACCATACAATGACTGTCCACCAATCAGACAGTGACGCAGACACCCAGTCTTGAGGTGCGTGCCAGCATTGAGTCTCCTACTTTTGTAGGGGTAAATGAGGTCAGGTATTTGTTAATGTCAACTGACTACACTGCCTCTCAATCATCATCCCTAGCTCCAATAACTGTAACTCTTCCCAGATCACTGTACCATTCACTGTCTGCCCCATTTCCTCCCTACACATTCCCTCTCTACCACTCTTCCGCTTTTTTTCCACATTCACACACTATTCCACTTCCTCTTTGTTCAGATTCAGTACCTTAACCATCACTGTGCTGCTTCACTTCTCTGGCCCATTCCTTGGACTCTTCCGATCCAAACAAGTTATGCTCCAATTGTACAGAGCTTTGCTTAAGTCCCATCTTGGACAGCATTTCCAGAAAGGCACATATTGTGGATTTTCTCTTCAACAGAGTTTTAAAGATATGATCTAATCCGTGTTTAAGACAATTTAATAGGACAAATGTAAAGAAGTTGGTTCCGATGGTGGACAGTCCAGAACAAGGGGACACAACCTTAAAATTCAAGCTAGACCATTCAGGAGTGAGTCAGGAACATGTTCATACAAAATGTGGGGAGATCTGGAAGTGTATTCTCCAAAAAGCTATAGAGATAGGTCAAATATCAAAACTAAGGCTGATATGGATCAAAGGCAGGGGAATGGAGTTGAATAACAGATGATACAGGATGTAACTGAATGGTGGGACAAGTTGAATGGCCTATTCACTCCCTGGGCTTCTTTAGGCTCTAATGCTTCAGGCTAACAATTTTCAGCCCCCGCTTGAGAAACTGCTTTGAGTCTTAAAAAAAAACATGGAAACGCTGTGAAATTAAGATCATAAATCATTCTCTGGATTCTACTGATGAGCATAAACCACCTGAGCTTTGCTTCACAGGTTTGCAATCTCAGCACAACTGCCAGATTAAATTACTGCTTTATAGTTTATTGTTATGCTCCTGTTAACTGGTATCTGTGTGTTACAATGTCATGGCATGTTCCGTCAGTTTGCACAGCCTACTTTAAACTGCCTCTAATATATATTTTCTGCGCAACACAAGCCTCAGCTAAGTTTTCAACCTTTAGCAAGATGCTACCAAGAGATATGAGCTGCACAGTCGTGTGATTTCCATTGGCCAATTTCTTTGCTTGAAAACAATACTGACAATTGTAACAGCTATCTGATTACTATTGATCTCGAGGGCAATTATGGATGAACAGAAATGCTGGCCTCATCAGCAACACTGTCATAAAGAATTTACAAAAAAAGTGACACAAAAGGGCACTTAACAATTATTTTAACTTAGATGACTATATAAGTAAACTGATCCGAGCCCCTGTGTCACAATCTCACTGAGCTCAGCGTTTTGCTGGCATTGCTAAATTTCTCCCAATGTGTTCTCTCCTGGGCTGCACTGAAGCCAGATTGGTACCAATGGTAACTGTATACAGCCCATGTGTATATATTTGTGTGCACGCATTTGCCCTTGACTTTACCTCCAACCTAACAAAAATACTAAGCAATGTGATTTTCCAGGCTGGTGTCTTTTTTAAGAGGAGACAGATATGCCAGCTTGGAAAGTTTCCCGACTCAGCCTTCCCAACTCATCCACAAAAATCAGGACCAACATCTCAAGTTGATGGGCTTACATCAGATTATTTCACAGTTTTCGGTTCTCCGAACTGGTCATATTAATGAAGGTTAATCGCTGACATCTAAGTTGGTCCTGTCTGACTGTCATGATATAAGTAGTAACCTAAAGGATTATTTGACGAATCTTGGTTATTAAAAGCGTCATGAACCTACCTACGAGAGGTTCTGCACAAATGTGCTGTTTGGGTGACAACCATTTCCTGGCACATCAGACAAAATACAATTGCCAGTGAACAAGACCCAAAGCCAAAATAACTGAGAAAGTCAAAGATCCTTCTTTTTCCATCTATGGTTTATTGCATCCTAGTCCTAATTAATGCAAGATAAAAAGATTCAACTTCATTTCTCCTTTTACCAAGTTTTAGATATAAACTACTAATCAACCATTTGCTGTGCCTGCATACTAACATGTTATTGCTCATGTACCAGTTCACCCAGATCCCTCTATAATATTGATTTCTACATATTCTCCACACTTAAAGGTGATAATGGTTTTCAATTCGTCCTGCCAAAGTGGCCATGTTCACATTTTCCCAATTATACTTTACTTTTTTTTTTGCCAACTCATCTAACTTGTCTATATCCTTTGCAGACTATCATCTCTTGACAAATTACTTTCCTGCCTATCTTGGTATCATTGGCAAATTAACTAACATACAACAGTCTCCTCAATCATGTCTTCGATATAGATTGTAAATTGTTGAGACCCAGCATTGTTTGTGTGCCACTCAACTTGTTACAGCTTGCCAACCTGAAAAAGACAGATTTATCCCTACTCTACTTTTTGTTAGCTAACCAATCCTTTATTTGTGCTAATATGTTATGTCATATATCTTGTGTTCTTGCGTAATATCACTGGATGTGGCACCTTGTCAAATAATGTTTGAAAATCCAAGTACCACCACATCCATTGGTCCCCCATACATACACTGTCTGGTATATCCTCAAAAGACTGTAATAGATTAGTTAAACACGATTTTGCTATCCCAGTACAATGTTGACTCTGCCTGATCACATTATGATTATCTAAACATCTTTCTCTAACCCCGTTAATATTGCACATTAGCAATTTCCCCACAAGAGACGTTAATCTAACTGACCTACAGTTTATTGCTTTCTTTCTCCCTTATTTCTTGAATAAAGTTGTTACATTAACTACCCCCCCCCCCCCCCCATCTATTGGGACCTTCTGGAATCTGAGGAAGTGTGGAAGATTATTATCCCTGTCATCTATAAGTCCCTCAGGTGCAGGCAACATGGTGCTGGAAGCTTCCCAACCTTTTGGGATAATAATTCTCAATGCACCTACTCTCTGACTATGTTGATGGTTTTACATTCCCCCAACTCACTCACCTTTTCATTTTCAAAGCCAGAAGTCAAATGACACCAAGTTATAGTCCAACAGGTTTGTTGGAAACCACAAGCTTTCGGAGCGCTGCTCCTTCGTCAGGTGAAATGGGAAAATCACTTCACCTGATGAAGAAGCAGCGCTTCGAAAGCTTGTGATTTCAAATAAACCTGTTGGACTATAACCTGGTGTCGTGTGACTTCTGACCTTGTCCACCCCAGTCCAACACCGGGACCTCCACATCATGGCTTCTCATTTTCAAGTATCTTTGGGAAGTTTTCTGAAACTTCTACAGTGAAGCCAAACACAAACCACTTTGCCACCACCATTTCTTTGTTGAACATTATAAATTCACCAGACATCCTCCAGAGGTTTTATTCTTTTCCCACTGAAATAGTTGTAGAAACTCATTGGTTTGATATTACTAACTAGTTTTCTCTCACACATTTTCTTCTTCTTTACTACTTCTTTCATCATCCTTGCTTGTTTGTAAAATTTGACCAGGCTTCTGACCTACCATTAATTTTTGCAGATTTGTACTGCGTTTATTTCAATTTGCTACTATCCATAACTTAAATATGTAGCCACTGATGATACAAACTTCTCAATGAGTTTCTCTCTCACTGAGTTAAATCTTTGCTGCAAGTGATTAAATATTGCCTTTAACAGTCTGCTCCTGCTACCATTTAAACTAGTTTCGCACTTATTTCAGCCAGCTCTGCCTTCATGCCCCTATAATTACCTTTATTCAAGTTTAAAATACTACTTTTTAGAACCTGGCTTCTCGCCTTTAAACTGAAGACAAAATTCTCTTTTGAATACACTGGTGAGAACTTTAACTTACACTGGTATCCCACCTTGATAGGAGTGAACACTATCCTCAGGAATGCTGTCCTCAGGAGTCAGATACTGAGTGATGAGCAAAGTGGACAAAACACAAACAAGTGCATGCAGTGTGCAAGCAGAATGACCTCTTCTGTATTCAGCTTGTTACAACCAGGTCATGCCCAGTACACTAGCATGTCACTTCCATTCTCCAACAGTACAGTCTGTTAGGCATTAATTATGAATGACCGTACTTGCCTGAATTAATCATTAGCACTGATATAAAACACCATTGATCACAAGCCACTTCCATCATTGCAGGACTATTACATCACAGGAGACAGAACTGAATGGGCTTCAGTGCATTGACTGCTGATCCAACTAATTAGTTTAAGCTTTTAACTAAAAGGCATTTGGTTATGTGTCAAGACTATTACTCTTGTTAAATGCTGAAGTCAATGATAAATTTCTCTTTGTTGCTGTGGCTGCAGTACTACAGTACATTGACCCACCCTCTGCTGGAATTGCTAGGTTTCTTTTCAGGGTGCTTTTTGGAACTAATACCTGCAGAGCAACACAAAGATGGAAGGGCAGGGGTGGTCATGGTAATTACAGCATCTGCATCGACTGTTGAACCAGAACAGCTTCAAAGAAGCAGCAACCTTCAGCTGTGGTTGCCAACAGTAATGTTGGATGTGTTTAATTAAAAAAGGATGGAGATAACCATTTCTTTTCCCTCTGTGTTCAGATTTCACGGGCATCACAGGGACCAGCTTTATTTGCAATCGCAATCAGAGGTTATCGCAATCAAATGGGATGATGGATTGGGACCACCCAGGGCGAGCAGATCAGTTGTATTGTGGGACCTGGGGCAGCCATTTTAGAAGTTACCAAGTACAAAGTAACATTAATAAGGCAGTGGGGGGGGGAGGATCCCCTTTCACACAACTGATGCAGCCAATGGAAATGTGGGATTGCACCTGAACAGGTCTGTCAGCAGGTTGGCTTCCAACTCCTCAACCACTGGGAACCAAAGTGGAAATAATGGAGGTGTGAGGCAGAAGCACTGGTGACAGAATGCACTGGGAAAAAAATAAATACATTGGACATTCCAGTTCTTACCTGCTTGTGACGCAATCATGAGAGCTGTGTTGCCTTCTTTATCCTGCCAATTGACATCAAGGTGAGGGCATCCAGCCAATAGGAAGACAATGTCCATGAATCCCTGGTAACAGGCCACCATTAGCCCAGTCTGGAAACAGAATGCATCCAGCAGTTTCAGAGAGAGGGAGTTTGGTGGAGCGCAGAGCAAACATCGCAAATTAACCAACCGTGCAAAGTTCGGACATATAGATGAGCTGGTACAAGAGAAACGTTGAAAATAAAGTAACACACAATAAATCAGAGAATTGGTGAGAAGCTGACAGAAAGGAGATGAGGAAGATTAAATAGTCCACAAGACTAACTGTAGAAATGAAAGCTTTGTCAGTATTCAAACAATTTCAAGCCAATATTTAAATGATTAACAGCTGACACAGAATTACTGAGGACTAATGAAGGTGAAGAGAGTCCAATGATAAGTTATCGCGGATCACAGAATCTCCAAACAAGGCTACTGTCAGCAACAAGTGGACTATTGCCAGCACAGTGAGGATTAAATAAAAATGGAGATGGAATTCAACTACAGCATTTCAATTTCCAACCGTGGATCAAAATGAGGTCTGAGAAGAAAGTCAACAAAGATCAAAATCCTGCAGATGCTTAAAATCTGGAATAAAATCGAGAAAGAGTGTCCTGAGAAAAAACTCAAGTCAGGTTGGGAGAGGAAGGGTAAGATAAAACATTTCAGGTCAGTGACCTTTGGTCAGAAACTACAGATATCATAGGCCAACACCAAAAAAAGAGGAACAGGGCCAGGGAGAAAGCAGGAGGAAGACAGGAAAAAATACCACACAGCGGGTGAGGATTTAATGAATCCACAGATGACAGTGCAGGACAAAAAAAAGGATGATAAAGAAAGAAAAAAAAAACAAAAATAATGTCGGCTGAGACATGGACATTTGAGAGATCTGAATAGTGCAGTTGCAAAACAAAAATTAAGTAGCCACCAAGTCATTCATGAAGAATGAAATGTTTATCTGACTGTTCAATTCCCCCTCCCCATCCAAGCTTAGCCCTGTTCTGTTCAGCATTGTTTAAAAATGAGCAATTTCCTTTCTATTTGTGAGCACAGGAGCATATTAAGCATGTGGATATATTGACACAGATTGGGCCATTGCAGCTTTTGCATGACTCTGCATCTTTGCGTATAGCAGTGAATGAATATTCTTCTGATACATACTTTGCACAACTCAAATCTATATCAAACTCTAACAGTTAGAATTCCTTTAGCTCCGAAGAGGGGTGAAACAGTTTCTCCTCACAGATGCTGCCAGACCTGCTGAGTTTTGACAGCAATTTCTATTTTTGTTTCTGATTGCCAGCATCTGCAGTTCTTCAGGTTTTTTTTGGTTAGCATTGGTAACTGAAGTTCATTACACAAACAGCTACGAGCCTTGTGTCAATCGTATTTAGGTCTGTGCAGATTCCTTGTGCTAATAAACTTTTACGACATAAATGTTACGGGACAGTTAATTGTGCTTTTAGAGCAACCACCAATGAAGTAGCAGGAAAACCACTGAATGTATCCCTGGGAATGTTTTAAATGATTTATTGTTAACTCTCCCAGCTCATCCACTGCTGTCTGGACACAACTTAAAAAGAGATAACAAGGTGTACAGCTGGATGAATACAGCAGGCCAAGCAGCATCAGAGGAGCAGGAAAGCTGACGTTTCAGGTCTGGACCCTTCTTCAGAAGGATCCTTCTTGGCCTGCTGTGTTCATCCAGCTCTACACCGTGTTATCTCAGATTCTCCAGCATCAGCAGTTCCTATTATCTCTGAAACAACTTAAAAAGAGTTTTTTAGATTTTGAGAGATTACTGTCTGCAGGAGGTCCTTTAAATTCATGCATTTTTTTTCTGTGGAGGAGTCCGGTCGGTCCCACTCTCCTGCTCTAGCCTAGCAATTTTATTTCCATCAAGTTTCTTTTGAATATCTTCTCAAAATCAAAGCTAGCCCCCCCTTCCACTATTCTCAAAGTCAGTCAGTTTCAAGTGGATTAAAATCACTGTGATAAAAATTCCCCTTCACATCTCCTTTATAACTCTTGCCCAAAGCTTTAAATCTTGTCTCCCACCCCTTGTATCATCAGCTAATGAAAAAAAAGCTTTTCTTTATCTACTTTTAACTATCATTCTACATCCCTATCATATTCCCCTCAAACCACTTTCCTCCAAAGAGAACAATCCCAGTTTTTCAACCTAACCAGTCTCCCTTCCCTGGAATTCATTCTGGTAAATCACTTACTGGCCCTCTCAATCTTCCCACAGAGTACTGACCAGAACCAGATGCTGTACTCGAGCAGTGGCCTCATTGGAACTTCATATAGGTCCAACATAATTTCCCGGTTTTTGGATATACCTATATTTAGGAAGTTCAAGAAATTGAATACATACCTGAAGGGAAACATTTGGTGGACTATTGGAAAAATCAAGAGAACGGGCTCAATTTGATATCCCTTTCAAAGCTCTGGCACAGGCAAAACTGACTGAATGGCCATCTTCCGCTCCATATGATTCTATGATTAATATGACCACGTACAGTATCCACTCACAGTTCAAAAATTAAGGGGTCTCTCATTTAAGATAGAAAAAAAAATTATATTGTTAATCTTTAGTATTCTCTTCCCTAGAGACTGCTGGAGGCTGGGTCATTGAATGTATTTAAGTTAGAGAGAATTTTTAATCGACAGGGCAGTCAAGGATTCTGGGGGTTAGGCAGGTGAGTGAGTCAAGGACCCTGTTGGTGGCATGATATGTATCACAAGTCAGAGGGACTTTCTAACAGTCCTGTTGACACCAGATTGGAATCCCCAAATGGAGGGGCTTTCTGACAGCAGGCACAGTTTCAGAACCTGACTCATTTATTTTATTGTCTGCCTTTCTGTTTATTACACGTGGGTACTCACAGTAAAACAATAGACATGTGTCAGTCAAAAATGACTGATTACAGAAAAGCCCTAAAAACTTTAGAGAGTTGCAAATTTCATGAAAGGTTATGGTCTTCTAGAGGAGAAAAAAACAACAGAACAAAGTAACAGAGTTGGGAGAAATAAAAATTGTCTGCATATTACTAAATGGAGGGGCACAGATGCACCTTTTATTGTCATAATGATGCATAAACTCAACTTGGACTCCACCCTCTGGCTCAAAACATTGAGGAGCAGTCTAATTAATGTTTCAAATGAAAAAGGGATAAAATGAAAAGAGTAGATATTGGAGGACGGGGATGGCAGGTAGCTCAAAAGAAATATGACATGTGGGTGATTTAAATAAAACCACAGGGCTACTCTCTCATTAGAGAGAGACAAATGCTAGTGGTTTAAGCTGAGGGTCACCATGCTTCAGGTGAGGGGAAGTGGTTGAGAAAGAGAATCCTGCATGGTAACCTCAGCCAGGGTGGGAACTGAACCCACACTGTTGGCATCACTCACCAGCCATCCAGCCAACTGAGCTGTACTCCAGGTGTGGCCTCAGCAACACTGGTTGTAGCAAGACTCTAACCCTTAGCAATAAAGGTCAAAGTTCCATTTACCTTCTTAATTACATGTTGCACTTGCACCTTAACGTTTTGTTTCATGCACATAAACATCCAGATCCCTCTGTGCTGCGGGGTTTTTTCTTGGAATCTCCCTCCATTTAAATAATAGTCTGTTTTTTTGATTTTCCTGTCAAAGTGCATAACTTCACGCTCTGCCGCACTAAATTTGATCGACCATGTATTGGCCACTCATTGTGTTCCCTTGTAGATTCCTTACACCCCAAATGTCCTACCACCTGCTTTTGTATTGTCAGCAAATTTAGATACATTGTACTCTGTCCTCTCTTCCAAGTCATTAATATACATAATAAACAATGGAGACCTTAGGACCAATATTTGTGACACCTGACTAGTTGCATCTTTCCAACCTGAAAAGACCCATTAATCCCAACTCTCTGTCTTCTATGTGTTAACCAATCTTCAATCCATGATAATACCTTACCCCCAGTGCCGTGAGCTCCTATCCTAAAACAATAAAGTTCTATGTGGTGCATTATCAAATGCCTACTGGAAATCCAAATACACAACATCTACTGGTTTCTCTTTATCAACTCTGCGTATTATATCCTCAAAGAACTCCACGATATTTGTTAAACATGATTTTAACTTTCAAAAATCATGCTGACTTAATTGTTTTAATCTTTTCTAAAGAGCCTGCTATTTCTTCCTTAATAAAGGTGTCAAGCATTTTCTCAAAAACAGATGTTAGACTAACTCGCCTACCTTCCTGCCTTCTGTCTCCCTTCTGTCTTATAAAGGGGCATCACATTACATTCAAATCCACTGGAACATTTTGACCAATGCCTTCTCTATTTCTGTAGCCACCTCCTTTATAACCCTTGGATGCAGGGGATTTATTGCCTTTAACTCATTAGTTTGTCAAACATTTTGTCCCTTGTGAGAGACTGTTTCAAGATCTTTCCTCCCATTAGCACCTGTTCATCTGTTATCTTTGGGATGTTTGTGGTGTTCTCTACCACGAAAACCAATGCAAAATATTCGTTTAAATTATTTTCCATTTCTCATTATTAATTCGCTAGTTAGATTCATAGAATCCCTACAGTATGGAAAGAGGCCATTTGGACCATTGAGTCCATACTGATCCTCTGAACAGCATCCCACCCAATCTCTATAACCCCATGTAATCAACCCTAACCCACCTACCCTGTACGTCCCTAGACACTACGAGCAATTTAACATGGCCAATCTACCTACCCTGCACATCTCTAGACTGTGGGAAGAAACCGGAGCACCCAGAGGAAACCCTATTAGACATGGGGAGAAGATGCAAACTCCACACAGACAGTCACCCAAGAGTGGAATTGAACCTGGGTCCTTGGTGCTGTGAGGCAGCGGTGTCATTGAACCACTGTGCCTCCCTTTGTCTCTGCCAAAGGTTCTTCATTTAGTTTAGCTACTCTTTGTTTTTAAAATCTACCCATTGAAACTCTTACTGTTTCTTTTTATATTTCTTTCCATTCACTTTCTTAATCATTTACTCCATCTTTATTTGCTTTTTAGTCATCTGCTGTTCATTCCTAAACA